TTTCTTGTTCTCATCCTCCTTCATCCCCTCTCCATGTTAGCCCCTTCTCTGGCACTCCACCAAAACCAGTCTCATCAGGATCCCTGGTGACCTCCACATTAGTCTATAGCCTCCCAATTGGGGCAGGACCTTTGTCTTACACCGCGTGATCCAAATCCTCAGTGTTTGTGACAGTATCTATCACATAGCTTCTGCACCATAGATATCTGTCTAATGAATGCGTTCATGTACCAGTAGTGTTTAGTGAATTTATTTGCTGTTCCACGAGATGTTCATGGAAATACCATTTGCTCTTTCATACAAGTAACATGCCCTGTGGGGGCTGCCCTACTGATTATACCTAAAGTCGGCTGTAAGCAGTGCAGGCTATAAAGAGTTAACCCCACAATTGGCTTGTTTTGATAAGTGAGTCTGGCCAAAGTGTACAGGCTGAGGTCAGAGTGACTTGCAGCCTCACTGACTCCGGGGAAGGTTTCAGTCCCACATGACTGCAGATCCAGAAATATCCCATGCAAAGCTCCATTTCCCCTCCAGGTATGAAGGTGCTTACCTCCCATCTCACAGGTTCATACAGATCTTGGCAAACAGTTAGGAGAAAGGCAGACTTTGGGCCCAGACAGGCAGCACTTCTGCTGGAGAACATAAAAATGAGAAGGAAGCTTAATGCTAGGAGAGCAAAGTCTTTCCTGGAGGACATGAGGGAAAGCCTGTACTGAGAATTTTTACGTTCTTTGAACTGGGCCGATCACCTGCCTTTCATGACATATTAGTTCTGTGTTCTAGAATACCATAAAGCACACTGACCCCCCTTCTCGTGACAACACTGCAGATATTTGAAGACCATTTCTCTGCTACAAGACTTCACTCCTTCAGGAGTAAACACCTTTAAACAAACACCTGATTTCCTGATTTCTTGCTCAAATAAAATACTTTCCAGTTCTGCCTTTCTGGCTGCCCTTCTCTTCCTCCACCCACCTCACCAGCATTCCTCTCAGAATACGTAACATAAGGGATGGAGATTTAGCTCAGTGGTTCTGCCGCCTGCTTTGCAAGTGCAAGGTCCTGAGTTCAATCCCCGTACCCCCTCCAAAAAAAGAACAAAACATGTAACATAAATCCCTCACGTAATCGGCAGAGGAGAAATCCATATATTCCGTTACTAGGGCACTAGAGTTCCCTTCACGGAGTCTAAGTCTGGGTTGATCTTTTTAAAATCCCTAGTATTCCTAATGACCTCCAACATGTCCATTGATATCATCTTTTTTTCTTTTCTTTTTTTTGCATTTACAAGGCAGGCAGTGGAACCGCTGAGCTAAATCCCCGGGCCTATCCTCATCTTTTCTCATTAACTGGTATCTCCTTTATCCTACGGAGGGGTATTTGAACCTCAAAACACTTTACATTTAATAATAAAATCACTGTCAATTCTTTGGCCTTGTGTTTTAGCTTTTCTAAAGCCTTTCTAAAACTTCGAGGCATATGAAATTCAATAAGTAACTCTGAACCCATCGATGTGAAGAGCATATAAATATTTACAACTTCTGAGGTCTAGGGACAATGGCCACCTAAGGTGAAACCTTAATTATCCTCAAAGGGGATGATGCCTGGCCACTTTGTCAGAGGGCAAAGCCTACTTCTGGCTCTGAGAAATAAGAGATGCTGCTCCCGGGTTGGTTCTGTGGCCAGTGTATGGGGAGGAAGGGGGACCGGTCCAGGCTGGAAATACATGATGGAATGTTGCAGTGTATGCCCAGTTGGCAGGCAAGGGTGGTCCCACAGTCAAGGGAAGACACTGAAGCAGACATTTTTCATGACAGTCCCTCCAAGGCAGTGTGTTTGCTGAAGTCTCAACTTTGCATTAAAGCCAAAGGCTACAAATTGAGCATTGCTCTCTGGATCCAGCCTGCCTGCCTCCAAGCTCTCAGCCCGAGGACTAAGAAGCCCCATACAGTGTCGGCCAGCTGTCCCCACTGGAGTGCGGAAGCGGGCACAAGAGGTGGGCTGTTATGGTGCTAGCGCTGCTGTTGAGCAAGCAACATTCACCTTCAGCAGTCCCATCCCCAGGGCCTCTCCTGACCATTCTCTCCAGACCACACCTCCCACAAATTCCAACCCCCCGGAAGCCAAATCAATAGCTTACTGTAAGGTCAGTTAGCAAGCAAGTCATCCTGATCAGTCTGATCACAAACAAGATTAAGTTGGCTTACATTTTTTAAAAAATATACTTGAATTTTTATACTAGTTATCTCTGGGGATAAAGTTATACTGGTTTTTATTTCCTTCATTTCTGCTAATCTGCATTTTGACCAGGAAAGGCAGAACAAACAAGGTGGGTATCAGTGAGCTGGTATGTGATGCTGATTTAAATTTGGTTGTGTCTTCTATATTTTTTAGCGTTTCTTCTCCATTGTGAGTCAAACATATCTCACCAGGAACTCAGAGAGGACAATACCTGAGAGTCAAACACACACCGTTCTTGGGTGACTTCTTTTCCTCACTCGGAGCTAGATCCAGATCTTGCCCACTTGTTTGGAGTCTGCTAAATGGAATATCCCTATGCTCTTCCAAAGCAGCCACCGTGCAAAACTCCTATCGGAAACCAAGACTGATGCTTCTGCATGCTGAACTTCTGAAACCTCATTTCAGCGTGTAAGTCCTTCCCTCTTTTAACTTGTTGCAGTAACATTTTCTTTAAAGCTATCTTAGAACTTTTCCATGCTGAATGGAAGAAGTCACGGACCTAAGGTACAGCCCCACATCACAGAACCCAAATCCCAACACAGGCACACACGTCATCAGGATGCCAAAGGAGACATCCACAGTTCCAGCTCTCCAAAGTAATGTCACAGTATTAAGTTTCCCAGACAGGCTCGGGTTTTACCCTTCTGTAATGCTACCATACAACACAACTACACAAATGCGGTTCACCTAGATGTGTGGCTGTAATTTTTCCAGGATTTAACACTAGAAATATCAAGCATACACCACCTTTCCCACTTACTCCAGACTGGGCAGAGGGCATGGCCAGGCAAGGGCTGGAGATCTGTAGAGGATAAAAACTGCTAGATAAAGAAGGAACAGCCCCAAAATAAGGACTCATTAAAAATCTAACTCAGGACCAAAGGACCTCCCCTTCTTGTTTATCTTTCTTGTTTTATTTTTACCTTGAGCTGTACTTGGTAAATAGAAGTAAGTAGAAGAGAAGAGAGGTATTTGTGGTTCAAATTCCATCTGCTGTCAACTCGAGTTCAGGCTGTGGGAATGAGACCTACCTGACCTTTCTTCTAAGCCTTGCCTGCTTCTAGTGACTTCCTGTTCTTCTATTGCTTTGAACCTGTTCTTTCAGAGCACATAAAATCTCATAGGTAGTCAGTTCTATCAGTTCCCACGGTGCTTCTGCTTTTTAATCTAAACCCACATTTATTAAAACATGAAATATATAAATAAAACAATGCATGTAATACATATAAAACATAATATATAATTTGTTCATGTGTGTGGTGCTGGGGGTGGACCCGAGAGTCCTGTGCATGCTAGACAAGTGCTCTACCACTGAACAACATATACCTCCTGCCCAAGATAGTCTAAAACTGTCATATTTCTGTAGCTACATCTAAAATATCAAAATATATGACCATCATGTATATGTTTTTTGTTTTTTTGGTTTTGTCTTTTGAGACAGGGTCTCACTATGCAGTTGAGACTGACCTGGAACTCACTATGTAGCCCAGGCTGGTCTCAAACTCACAGCGATACACTACATAATTGTCTTTTGAGACAGGGTCTCACTATGCAGTTGAGACTGACCTGGAACTCACTATGTAGCCCAGGCTGGTCTCAAACTCACAGCGATCTTCCCTGCCTCAGCCTCCCAAGTGCCACCACGCCCAGCTTTATATGTATATTTTTAATTCCCTCATTTTTCTTTTGAAGATTTTTGATGCAGTTTGCTTGAACTTCCATAATGTTCTGTTCTTAGGGATTTTTAAAAAATGCTTGTAAACATTTGAAAAATTCCTTTCATATATTCTGGTTTTTCTATTTTTAGTTTTGAATGACCCTTCTGGTTGATCTCACGAGCTGCTTCATTTGCCGATGCTAGAGACTGAACCTAGGGCCTCACGGGCTCCGCAAAGGCTTGGTCACCGAGCTCCTCTCTTCTGCCAGACTTGGAATCGTTAACTGAGGCTCCAGGATCCACAGGAGCCAGGTACCCTGAGAAGCTCTGCCAATTTAATGCTGTAGAGACACAGGACAAAACTATAGTGGACCCTGCGAGCTTTAGCCTGTACCACATTAGTTTCTTTTTATATTGTTAAAAAATTTAAATTTAGAGAAGTTATAAAAACAGTGCAGAAAGTTACTGTATACCTTTGCCACAGTTGCCCCTATGAAAGTCTCAATAACCATAGTCAAGAAGCCTTCTACAAAACTGTTAACCAAACTACCCTTGTTGGCTCCCCTGAGTGCTTTTGTCAGAGCCCTTTTCTGTTGTCCTCATCCCTGGATTCCACATTACATTTACTTATTATGTCCCCTGTGATCTGAGTTCCTTGTGCTTTTCTACGGTGCCCAGGGCTTCTCCTTTGCTTGGGTTTCATAAACAACTCCAGGCTTATCCTATTAGCTTTCAATAGTGTATGGACTTTGATCTGCTCATTTGTCTAAACTGTTGAGTCCTAATCTTTTAATTCCAAAATGAATCTGCTCTTAGTAGAGTGCATTGGTTTGACTGGTGAGTAGCAGTAAAGCAGAAGAGACAGTAGAGGGAGTGGCAGAGGTAATGAGAGTGAAAACATTTCTGCAAATCCCACACTGAATGGGATACTTTCAATTTAATTCCTCAGCAAACAAAAGTACTAAGTGTTCTCTCCAGAGACACAGCATGAGAGAACCACAAGTTTACCTGATCCAACTCTTCAAGTTTTACAAATGAGAAAGTTATCATGTTGCAAAGGAAATAAACAGAAAATATCACGTAGACACCAATTCATACCATTTATTGACATTTCCATTTAAAATGCTAAGAAAGCTGTAAAAATTGTAAACATGGAAACCAAACACTTACATAAATTATTTCCAAAACTACAGCACATTATAAAACAGTGCAGCTAATTGGAGGATAGAAACATAACCGACAAAGAGAAGGGAGGGTTCAATTACTAAATTATATACCCATACTGAGATTTAAGTGCCCGTTTGAGACCAGCAAATTATGATTGTCAAGTTCAGGTTGCAGGATGGAAGCCACAGGTGGCTCCAATTTGCTCTGCACAGTTTCGTACATTAACAGTCATCATCTAAAAAGGAGGGTGCAGGAAGAATCAGAGCATGACCTTGAAAAGGAGGGGAGATAAGCCAGCACCCCAGCCAGAGCAGCTCCGTGGAGCTCCTGTTAATGCTGTCAGCGAGGCGGGGCAAGAGGGCAATGTCAGGAGCATTTCTACTCCACTTTGAAATGAGTCCCTGGTGCTTAGAGCAACTGAGTTAGGAACCACATCTCAGTTCTTCCTGCACCTCCCTCTTCTTTCTCCACATCTGCAGGGGAACAGAACAGGGTGTCTGGCTTGAATTTGGCCCTGGGGAGACAAGTTATGAATACTTGAAATCTGGTGGGCACGAGTAAAGATCGCTCCAAGTAGTCCCGGAAGAATGTTCTACATAATCAGTGAGATTAAAACTATTCCAATTTTCAGTTCAGTCCTTTGAACCTATTCACTCTTTCTTTAAATGTGAAGTGGTCTCAGAGCAGAAAAACCCCAGGGAAAGAAGGCAAAGCAAGGAGCCTGGATCATTACCTACCCGGTGGGACACAGATTTGGACCAGCGTTTATCAGACGAAGACATTCACTGCTTCTCTCACTTTCTGCACTGGTTCCTAACTGCTCCGTGTACCCAAAGGCATTTAATATTCTTTCCCTCCTTTAATGCTGCTGTGTGTTCATAGGACAATTGTTAAGTGTACTGCTACACACAAAAGCACGGATTTAGCACTGTGCCATGATGTTTCAGTGTTCAAGTCTTCTTAATAGTGGACAAAGGTGTCCTAGTTCAAATATCAACAATCACCTCCAAAAATGTCAAAAGAAACCAGAAATGTGCGTACTCCTTGTCCACTGGGTGACAAGTGTAAGCCTAAATATTTGATGAATGTTACAGCAGTGGCCCATAGAAGCCCCTCTACTGTTACAAGAAGAGTGTTTATAGCATGTTGGATTCAAAGTAAAAGCAAAGTTCCCAAAAAAATGTGTTTGTGCTCACGAGGCCTATCTGCAGGTTCAGAGGTGGCCTTCCTCGTGCTCCTGCGTGGGCCAAATGTGGATGAGCAGGCTCTGGTGATGAAGTTTGGAGCCTTGCTCTGGAGGCAGAAATGACCTGGCAAAAACTTCACTAGAGCTAAAGTTAATGTGAGACTTAAGACTGGGAGCCCCTGGCCCTGAGCCCAGAATCTCAACCAGCCTTCCTTCCCCATGTCAAGTGCATTCCCGTTTAAGAACCCAAGATGGAAGGCCAGGAGAGGCTTTCTTAATGATTAACTTGGCAAGCACGACCCAGCAGACCCACATCGGGGGACAGCTTGCTTAACAGAGCATGCACGAAGGCGTCATACAAATGCAGTAAACACTGGCCTTGCTCATGGGAAATGGGAGACTCAGACAGCAGAGACTGACTTGTTTCCGCCTCAAGCCTTCCAAGCACCCTCCACCTATGGTCTGCAACACAGGCTTCCTTTCCTGAAAAATCTGGCTGGCAAAAAGACTGCTGCTTAAAAGCCATGTGCCACCAAGATCAGGACACATTCTGAATTAAATAAAACTGCGAAGAAAATTTGTACGTAGCTGTAAAAAAAAAGCCAGATGCATTTATTTATAACCTGGCACACTCCACAAAGGACTCAGCATTGCTGAATGGTTGGCCATCAAGTCTGTTCTAAGCAGTAACCCTCAAAGTCATTCTTAGCACTACTTTTGTTCTTCCCACTGGACCCGCAGCAGTTCTTGGTACTCTCCTTTCCTTTCCCATGCTGGAGCTCCTCCCACGCTGGACCTTCACCAGTCTGGTCACTCATTTGTTCAATTACTGCCTCCTCACACTACTTACTCTTTGGAAACTCCCTGGGCTATCCCCATACTCATCCTCAATGACAGCCTACTCCAATCTCTACATCCTCCCCCAGGCCCATTCTTCCCCAGGCCACTTCACCCCAAGTCTGGGCAGCTGCCCTGTCTTCATCCAAGTGACTTCTATAGTTAACTTCTCCCCAGACCCCAGCAATTCCAGACATGCAGCTTCCATGACTTCTGAGTGCCCAATGCACTTATATGCTTTGAATGTTATGGATGTTTAAATTGTATGTTTATTAATGTCTTCCATCTTTTATACCCATCTATAAGATCTGAGTTAGAGTCTAAGATTTCGGAAGTCAGGACTTGAGTATGCTGACCTATTTGGTGCCAGACATAGCAGAAAATGAGGAACAGAAAGATGTTAGAGATGCTTTTTGAAAGGCATGGGAGAATGAGAAGAGTTTAAAAACAGGAATGAGGAAGATGAGTCATACCAAGCTTTCCACCTTGATCTGGTTGCTCTGGTGTAAACCTGTTCACCAGCAGATCACAGTATATATATCATACAGGCCACCCCAGGTCATTCACATGGAAAACATGCTACATTTTCACAGAGCTTTATGCTCCCTCCTCCAGGGATGTTTGCATACAGGATCATACCTGACACAACCAGAGATCCCAGGAGGCAGGTGGGGGACATCTGGACTTGACAGCGAGGGAAGGATGAGGTTCGGAGGAGCTTGACATAGTGGATGAGTGACAAAGTAGACTGCAAGATCACTTCTCCAAAATATTTTCTCAAAAACACTGACTCAAATTTATAGTTTGTTTTACCACTAGGACTTCTGAAACAGGAAAAAAGAACAGACCTAAAATTTAACTTTTTTTAGAGTGCTCCAATCAGTGGAATTCCAAAGCTACTCAGGATCAACAGGAGGGCTTTTAAGCAAAGCACACTTGACTAAGTGTCTGGAGACCACTGAGCATGGTGTGTCCCACAAAGCTAGCTCGTTCTGAGTGTGGTGACTGGCCAGCCTGTTGGGGCAGATGTCTAGGAAAAAACAAGTGCAAACCAGGTGTGCTTTTTTTTTAAAACAACCAACAGAGAGCTGGTGATCCCACAGGGCCTGTTCACACTGAATCACTCATCAGCAGCAGTTTACTGTGTGTCATCTTTGGTCTTGACATTAGTTTAAAGATGTATTGGTTATAAGAATAAAAATACAGGTAGACTCCCTTTATGGTGGTTGGAAAGGCATTAAAACTGTGGTCGCGGTTACATCCTTTGCAGTAGAGACCCATTTCTGCGACACACAAAGGAGGTAATCACTTTTAGGATACTCTGCATGCAAAACACTTATGACAAGGAGCAGAACCAGGAGAGAAAGGGCCGTTTATTCCATCTGCTGTCACAAGAGTTGAACTCATTGTAAGGGTCCATAATAAAACTGCATGGGTAGGTGAAAGTCTTAAAACCACATTCAGCAAACCTGATTTTTTTGAGTGACATAGAAAGAGGATCCTCCACTTTGTGAACAGTAAAGTATTAAACCAAGAACAAGAGGTAAGAAATCAAGCCTCAAAAGGGATCTTTTCTCCCATGTAAGTCGGAGCCTTTGGAAACAGCCTGATGGGAGCTGCTGGCTACACTTCAACTTCCCAGAACAGACCTGGAGATTCGGGTCCTGAGATTCTATGTCTATACCACGGACTTAATCGGTCGGCATGATCCTGGAACCAACAACTACACTCTGGAAACCTGTTAAAGCTGCCTCCAGGTTCTCAAAACTTACTGCAGATATTCAGATTTTGATTAGGCAGAATCCCAAATTTACCCCATGGTGTTGTTTAATCAAAAGTATGAGTTCATCTGCTAGAACAATGTACCTAGCAGGAATCTCTTCTGAATGCATGTATATCCTTTGAGTTTCACTCAGGCACCAGAATACAGATCAATGCTGTCTTTCTGGGAAGGAGGGAAATGGTGACTTTGGGGGTACATTTTAAGTGAGATCACCCTCCCTCTCCCTGGCCCGAAGTGCACCACACAGTTCTAACAGTCACTCAACAAATTAATAACAATAAAATCAGAATAGGGGCAACTCTCCTTTCCCTCGTAATCTCAGAACTCTTCTTTACACTTCTTGTTCTGTGACAAGAGGCTGGACTGGACCCAGTTCCAATTTCAGGTCTTGTACTCAGGGAATGTGATCGCTAGGGATGGATTTGGAACACCTGGGTGGACTTGTCAGCAACGATGTCTGCTTACATAAGATGTCTCCTTCAGGCGTGATATGCAAGCAAATCATCAGCAAAGTGCAAGGAGTTAGAGCGAGGACCCTGAAAGCCTCATTCTGTGGGACTGACCTTAATCGATGTGTGGAAGTGGGAGCCACCTGCACTTGCATGTGCCCAATTCTTAAAAGAGCAAATACAATTAAAAACGTAAATCTAAGCTTTGATATGTATTTTTGATTAACCAAATAAATAGCTCCCCCACTTTCCCCAAATTTGGGAATTATTTTTCTTTTTTCTTAGAACAAAATGAAACCTCCAACATGTTCTCCCATTGTAAAAGCCAAAGTTGCTTTTCACAGACAGAAAGGTGAAGGGGTTCTCGGAGCTTTAGCACCAGAAAAGGAAGAGGAAGAACGCAGGCGATGGCTTCGTTTGGAGTCATCAGGCTCTACAATCTAACATTTGGTTTCTCACTAGTAGCTTTCTTTAGAATTCCCCAACAGTCTTAGTATTGTTATTGTTAATATCGCTATTAAAATAAGTTCGTATGGAAGAAAACAGGGAAATCAGGCTGTTAATGAAATGTCTTCGAATCTCTCTTCTCGGAGAACAAAGCAGCAGGTGCATCATACATGTCAGTCTGAATCCCATGGAACAGCTCGGTTCCTTTCTGCCCTGTACCATCTACACATTTCAATATTCTGCCTTTTAAAAGGAGACTAACTTAGTAATTTTGTTAGCTTAGTTTGTGTTTCATTTTTGTGAAGTGCTGCTGGCTTTTGGCCAAAAATACATACATTTCCACTGAACCCGAGTGGTCACTAAATGGCCAACATAGTAAAACTATCATGAGTTGTCACATGAGTTATGGCAACATCTAAAATTGCAATTTGTTCCCTTACTCGGGCAGCATGCCCGGGAGATGCTGTTCTTCTTACAAACATCCACTCAGTCGATTTCCTTTTGGTCTTGCTTCCACGGGAAGCGGTTATCAGCAAACCTGTGCAGCAGGGCCCATCAGCTGTGGAAGTTCTGCACCGCGCTCTGTTTCTGGGAGAGCCGGAGCAGCTCCTCTCGGATTGCTTTGATTAGGGAAGCTGAGGAATGTCCCGGCTGGAGGTCTTCCGTGGAGCTGGTGGGGTAACCCAGCCCAGGGCCCTGCAGCCCTCGGTGGGGCAGATTCCCTGGAGGAGCTGAGGGCTCCCTGCCCGAAGTCCTTGGCACCTGAAACAGCGGTGAAGAAGAATACTCTTGATGTCCGAGCATGTGGGGCTGAAAAACATGGCAGATGTTACTGCACTTCCCACGTGAGGACAAGAGGGAAGGTCAAGTTCAAACCAGCACCTGAACGTCCTCCACCACCTCCCACCCACTACCTCAGCCCTCCACCAGGACCCTGCTGCCTGGTCTCTGTGCCACTGACTGGAGAGTACATGGGTGCAGAGAGGAGCTAGCCGGGGGCTGCTGGCCCATGGGGAGAACAGGTAAAGAAAGCCTGGGGAGCCCAAGTGGAAGAGAGCAGAAGCACCCCAGAGAGGTCAGAGGTCAAGGACACCAGCAGATGTGGCAGAAGGGCCACCCAGAGCCCCTTCCTCTGCCCTGGGCCCCAGGAACACATGCATGTGAATCACACTGGGACCACAGAACCACCTTCTGCCTCAGATATCTAGTGCGATCTTTGTGCGTGCGTGCTTGTGTGTGTGTGTGTGTGTGTCTACCATGTGCTTTCTAAAGCCTTCTCTTTAACAAGTCATCTATAGTAGACAATAGTTCTCTGATATTTGCAAAATAGAATGTGCTATTGATACGAATGTTACATTCTTCAGTGATTTTGTTTTTTACGTTTTTCACTGCAGAAAAAACATCTCAGGTCAGTACATTACATCAGTGTGTGGTCAGTGAACTAAATCTGTGCACTAAAAGAATAAATAACACTAACAGCAATTATTAATGAAAAGATGGCCTCCAAAGACCCAGGTTATTTATTTCTATATTTCACTTCTCCAAATTCCAGGAAAGAAACAATTCAAGTGAACATTATTGGATTTAATAGGAAAACCTAAACTATTTCATGAAACTAAATGAAGGCAGAAATGGGTACAATGAAGTCAGAAAAAGAAAAGTGTCAACAAACTTTAAGCAAATATTTAGATTGTAAGTCTAAGAAATGCCTTATTATAAAGCTAACTTCCTCCCACTGAGTGAAAGCCATTGGCCCCGAGAAGAATTCAGCATTACTGCCGAAAATGCAGAAGCTCAAAGAAAGATGAGGTATAATAATAAAGAGAAAGAGAAAAGCAACAGTTAGGCTTGTGCTTTCCTTTGTTAATACATCTTCCAAGGGCATAAAGTTCTCAAGAAAAACAGAGGAAAGCACCTGTAGAAATTCTGTGACCACAGTGAATGACCAGAGGGCTCAAAAGGAAGACTTGTGTCTTCCCACACCCACACCAAGTGCACGCTGCAAAACCATCCCTATACAGAGGTCACAGTGCAAAGACTATCAATAAGCCCATCACGAAGCACAAAAGCTAGGAATATTTATAGAGCCATCACACTGAAGACTAAGTCCAGATGTCATTCACCTTCAGGTTCAAATTCACTAAAGACCTGAGATCAGCCTCCTTTCCCAAAGAGGGAGGAAACTTATCACATAAAAAGTGCAAGCAAAAACACAGGTAAGGCGAAAATAGCAAGGGAGATGAAAGCTTTTTTTGAAGCACAGGTTTTAAAAACAGACCGTCAAAGGAGTGACGTGCTCAGGGGCTAGACAGAACGAGGACCCAAGGCCCAGATACTCACGGCCTCTCTCCGTCCAGGGTCGTCCTCACTGTAAGCAGGCCAGCCTGGGCCCCCATACTGGTTGCCTCTCACAGCCGGGATTTCCACCGGCTGTGCCCCAATCCTGCTGGCGATGCCTACCTGTGTTAGATGCTGGATCTGGGAGCCTAGAAGGAACACAGTACAGCGGGCTGGTGAGTGTTCAAACACAGTGCTCAGGCTGCTCCAGATACGGCATTTCCTAAACAAATGGGCCATGTGTGTCTTTCCCTACCTTTATGTACAGGGCTGCTCCTATTCCTGTCCTTACCAGAGGCCTGGGGGTGAAGGCTCACATTCTGCTTGTGTCTGCTGGTTTACAGCTAGGGTGGGCTTACTGACTGGAAAAAAGGAGCAAAAGGCTTGGAGCCACAAAGAGGAAGAAAGGTGGCTCCTTTGCACTTGTAGCTTTGAGATTCACAAGGAGCTGAATGTATAATAATAAGCTTTTTTTTAAATTAGGCAATGTTACAGTTTGTATCTAGATGACCCCCAAGAGCTTCAGGCCCCCTGTAAGTGGGGCTACTGGGAAGTGACTGGATAATGCGGCTGACAGTTGACTTGCTGTTAGGATCAGAGGTGGGTGTCTGGGGCGGTGCCTGGAAGGGCGGCACTTCCTCCCCTCACTCTGCTTTCTGTCTGCCGTGAGGTGAGCATTCCCTTCCACCATGCCATCCCACCTTGGAGCCACCAACAATGGACTCTACAAACTGCGACCCAAAGTCAACCTCTCCTTTAAATTGTGGGTATTGTGTCTCTAGGACAGAAAGAGTGACTAAGCCAGGCAAATACAATGTATTTATTTGAATTCAAAACATTATAGTCATTTATACTCACATTGTTCCCAGAGCTCAGCCAAAGCACAGGTGCTACCCATCACCCTGCGTGGTCAGCTGAGGGGCCACACCAGCCAGCTCCCTGGCCCTAACTCCCCTACCCTGGGATATCTATGGCCCTGTGTAGCTCTGAAAGCCGCGTGTTAGATGTTTTCCTCCCTTGTCAACTTTTGGCATATGGAAATATCTCTACACTGCAAATTAAAGGAGGGAGGAAAAAGATGATCTTTACTTAATTATTTTATTTGTTTACAGTTCTGGGGACAGAACCCAGGGCCTTGAGCATGCCGGGAAAGCACTCTACTAATGAGCTATACCCTAAGCCCTCAAAAGTGATCCTTAAGAACTTGTGAATTAATACACTTATCATCAGATTCATCAGCAATGTTCAGGTCCCAAGAGTTCACAGGGCTCTTCACCTCCTACTCCTGCTGTCTGGTGATCAACCTCAAGTAACCACCTACATTTTTAAAGCAAGAGCTCCTCAGCAATTTTATCTGGATATATAATGATAACTAAAGGTCACAGAAAATTGTCCAGACCTCTGCCACAGCAAGCAACTCTACGTAAACACTGTCCATTACTGAAAATTCATGGCAATATTAAAGCTGTATGGGCCTCTGGCACTGTCTGATCAGCAGACATCAGCCAAGCAGATTTTCCAAGGAGCTGTAAATATAGCCACAGAGCCTGGTACTCTCCAGCACTTCAACAGTCCGATCAACTGGGCCTGGGGACAGCAACCTTTTGTGTGAAACTCCATGTAGCTGAAATCATAATCTAGTTATGACTTAGTATCTTCCTTTAACCATACAACACAGAATTCCCCCAATTTGATGTGCAGCCCAGAAAGCCTGGAGCCCCACCTGTGACAAGCCACAGCACGTGGAGCATCCATCACTCCTACAGGGCCCAGATCCTCACTTGAAACTTTTAGAAACTACCTTAGAAAGTCACTTCAAGGATCTGAAACCAGGAAAGAGGCTGAGTACCAACCAACAGGCAGCAACTGCTGAATCTTAAAATTCCTCTTTTCTGGCTTTCTATAACCTCTTCATTTTAAAAAGCTGCGTAATTTATCCACGGATGCACTCACACTGGTTGTCTAGGGAGTTAACAGTGCTTTGCTGTTCTAAATAATGCTGGGATAAACATCTTAGCACACGTAGTTTTTCCCCCAGTATTTTGGATTTGGGAGTTAGGGGGATCCTGGATTCCCAGAAGTGAAATAACTAAATAAATGTTCATGAGTCCTAAGGCCAAATTATTTTAAAATATTTAATGATTTATACCACTGCTGGAAAGAATGTAACAGTAATCATAAAAATGGAGTACATTATTCAAAGTATTAGATATGCCAGGAAGTATTACGTGCACTTTACATCTGCTATTTTATTCAGCCAGCAACTATAGCCCTTGAGTATTAATCACCTCCATCATCCAGATGAGGAAACTGCAAACTTTACCACACCATTCTTATGAAAATAATTTCACAATCATAACTGTGCCTCAGAGTTTTAATTTGTATCTCTTTAATTATTCTCAAAACTGGGCCCTTTTCTTGGCTAGCTTTTTTATAGGGCACGTGTGCACACACATGCATGCACATATTTCTTTTCTGAACTCTTTCTTACCACCCTTTGCTCACTTACTTTTGAGGTTTGCCTGTTTGCCAATTTCTATGCACTAGCCTCTATAATTAAAACACCTCTTACTCGGGTGTGGCACTCTGGGAGGTTTAGGAAGGAAGACTGCAAGTTTAAACTCAGGCTGGGCAACTTAGCTACTTGGTGAGAAGAGGTCCCAAAAACAAAGGTCTGGGGATGTAGCACCTTCAAAGGTCATGGGTTCAAGTCCCATGACTGAAAAAAAAAAGTTCGGGGCCAAAACATGCTGTAAATTTTCCCTAGGTGCTTTTTTTTGTGTGTACTGGAGGTCAAACTCAGGACCTTGTGCTCCCTAGGTGCTTTTTTTTTAGATCTATACAATTTGATAATTTTCTATAGTCAAAAATGTAATTCTAATAAACCTTAACAGTTTACAATTTCATTTCTGATTATAAAGCATTAGATATGGTAACTTCCTCTTCAAACGGTTGGTTCATATAATTTCTATGTTCATCTAGATAGTTTAATTAAAAATCAATACATCTGAATTTTGTTTAGTGTTTATGCTGTGCAGCAAAGTCTCAACATGCAGCAGTTACAGAAGAAATGAGACTCCATGCAAAGCACAGCATCTGGAAATTCTAGAAAGCCACACACCATCAGGATACAGGATGTTATCTGGTTGGCTACCAGATATGTAAGATACAAGAGTTTTTTAGAAAACCACAATGGAAAAAAATACCAACAATTAACTGCAAAATTGGAATTGGCCTAGTTTCTTGACATTATGTATTCTCCAGAAAATTACACAATAGCAAAATAAATCAACGTGAATGGTTCCTTTAACACTTCAGTCATAATTCGTAATAGCTAAATCTTGGAAGCAGCCTATATGTCCATCAACAGATGAATGGATAAAGAAAATGTATTTACGTGCCATGGAATATTACTCTGACACAAAGAAGGGTAAACTTCAAGTATCTGTAGGCAAATGGATGCACCTTGAGACCAGAATATTAAGTGAAATAAATCAGACACACAAGCTTAAGTATCACATGGTTTCTCTTATATGAGAAACCTAAAATATAAATAAAGAGTAAATAAAAGATAAATATAGGAAGTAGAGAGCAGTAGATATTTTTTAAATGGGAAGGGGATCAAGAGACGGGGGCAGAGGACTGGGGATTTAGCTCAGCAGTGCTGCACCTGCCTGGCAAGCACAAGGTCTTGAGTTTGATTCCTGTGTACCTCCACCAAAAAAAGGACAGAGATGGGGAGGGAGGAGAGGATGAAAAAAGAATTAAGATGAGTCATGCACATGTACCAATTTTCCACAATGAATGTGATCACTGTATATTGCAAACATGTACTAATAAAAAATGAAGAAATGAATGAGGAAAATAAGAGTGACTGAGCTTTTGTAATAAAACACAGTAAGAGGATATTGAACTTTAAGAATCATTCAAAGTATGCAGAGCTGTACAAGACCAACGAAGAACTTGGGACCTTAAACTTCACTGATGTTTTTGCTCTTTTCTGGTGCTTAGGGATCAAATCCCAGGTCTCCAGCATACTAGACAAGCAAACTATCACTGAACTATGCCCTCTCCTCCATATAGAGATTTTTACAAACATAGAGTAGCATTTACAGAAAGAGCTTTCATAGTATCAACTGCTTATGAGTTTTGTACAATGAAACAGTAATTTGGTATTTAGGGTACAAGATGGACCTCAGGTGAACTGATGGGGTGACCTAGCCTCTGCTATAAAACACCTCAACGCTGGGTATGACAGCACACACCTGTAATCCCAGCACTTTGGGAGACTGAGAAAGGAAAATTGCAAGTTTAAGCTCAGCCTGGACAACTTAGCAAGACCGTGTCTCAAAGCAAAAAATACTAAACATCCTGGGGATGTAGCTCAGTGCAAAGGCCCTGGTTCCATCCCTAGTACAAAAATAAATAAATAAATAAAAAGAGCTTCAACAATTAACCTAAAACTCTCTGAGGACTCTAATTTCTTTTCTTTCCTCATTTTCTGAAAAATACATTAATTCCTAACCTAGCTGTCATTATTTAGGATACTGAATCAGAAAACACTATTCATATTTGTTTTTTCCTTTCCTAAAATTCAGAAAGCTCTTCCTTTTCACAGATATTCAAGAGTGTCAAAAGCTAAGGAGTTAGATTATTGAATGCAAATTCACTAATAACTATTTATAAAATCCAAAACTAAATACATGAAAATAAATGTAATCACTACATTTTAATTGCGGTCTTTAAAAACATGGATCTTTATATGGAATATACTACGTATTAGAGAATTGTAAATAAACCAAACTTTCACAAAATGTTCCTCAGATTAACTAAATATATTTTAGAATTAAAAACAAAATGTATTTATTGTATGACTTTATAATCTCCATCGCAAGTGCTCTGAAATAGCCCCGTTTCTGGAAGGGTGCACAAAAGTCCTCCCTGAAGAAGTGGACCACACCGCACGCAGGCCACCAGTTTGGAGACACAGGCCCGCCATGCCCTCTGCCCCGCCCAGGGGCACAGCAGATGGCGGAGGCGGCCTGTTCACTCCACGATGCTGACCCTCCTTTCCAACCCAGCCCACAGCAGCGTCCCAGTTTGGACACAGCTCCACAGCCCACGTACCTGTGGTGCCCCCGACGGGCCGAGGCCGGGCCACCGATGGCATCTCTTCGGAGTAGGCCCCTCGGGCAGCAAAAGGGGCTTCCGCGGCCGCCTGTGGCTGGGGAGGGTCCGGGGGCCCCAGCTCAGAAGATGGCAGCAACCCAGGGCCAAAACCCGGCCTGAAAGCAAAGCACAGCGGGCATCACGACTCTGGGGTCTGACTAGGCTCCCCCTCGCCCCTCAGAATGAAGACTGCTCTCTGCTTAGCCAGCTCCTCTCCTGCTCCCTGGCCCTGAGTGTGTCGCATGAAGCTGGAAGACAGGGACCCTAACAAACTGCGCTGGGTGACTGAATCCATCCCTTCCAGTAAAAAGAAGCATAAAAAGGGATGTATTACTTCCTAGACCACAGGAAGGCACAGTCAAGTTCCAGGATCTGTTAACCACCAGGCCTGCCCCAACTCTGAGATTCTCAGTCCTGGCTGCACATTAACATCACCTGGGGGACTTAAAAAATACCGATGCCCACTCAGCACCCCACAGTCAAACAGAACCTCCAGTGCATCCCAGGCTTTTTTAGAAACTCTGTGCAATGGTCTGTCTGGCTGCCCATCAAAGCTGAAAACCAGCATTCTTTCTTAAGCAGGGTTTTTTAACTTTTTGATCTCAGAACACTTTAACATTACATAAAAATACATTGAGGAGCTGAGCACAGTGCACTCACTTGCAATCCCACCTACTCAGGAGGCTGAGGCAGGAGGATTGTAAGTTCAACCTAGCCTGACAATTTAAGGAGGCCCCTGTCTCAAAAAATAAAAAGGGCTGAGGATTTAGTTCAGGGATAGAGGCCCTTGGTACAAAAAACAAAATGAGGACTCCCAAGAGCATTTGTTTATATGGATTAGATCTATCAATATTTAATGTATTAGGCTTGGTGTGATGGCACATGCCTATAATCCTAGCACTTGGGAGGCTGAGGCAGGAGGATAAGTGCAAGTTTGAGGCCAGCCTGGGCTACAAAGTGAGTTCAAGTAAGACTGTGTCTTACAATTAAAAACAAACAAAAATACAAAAAAGTACTTTATTAGAAATTAAGCAAAATTTTAAATCTTATGTTAAAAATTCATTTAAAAATATGGGCCAAGCATGGTGGCACACAGCTGTAATCCCAGCACTCAGGAGGCTGAGGCAGAAGGACTGCTGCAAGTTCAAGGCCAGCCTGGATTACATAGTGATTTCAAGGTCAGCCAGAACTACACAGGGAGACCCTGTCTCAAAAAACCAAACAACAACAAACATATTATATATTAATGTTAACAATTTTTATGAACTTAACTATATTCTTCAACCCCTCTCCCCCAAAATTAGTGAAAAAAATGATCCTCACATATTTCATATTCAATCAGTTGGCATTTGTTATTTTAGGATGAAAATCTACTCTCACAGACACAGAATATGTTCTCAGAAACAGAAAGAATATAAGCCTTTTATGATAATATTCAAAAACATTTTTGTTCTTTTGATACCACACTAAAATGCAATGTTGAATCTAAGAAACAGCATCAAGAATTTTTCATACTCTGCTACATTAAACCCATTCCTTTGTCTTGCATTTTGAATGTGATCATTAACCCACTCACGATTTTACAGCATTTGTCGTCTGGAAAATGCCAGTTCACTGAGTTGTGAACCTCACTGGGTATTAATACATTCCACTTCACAGTATCAAGAAACCCCATTCGTTCTTGGCCCTACCTAGTGTCACCTGCTGCTCTCACCTAGTAAAGTCTGTAAGTATCAGCATGCCACCAAACCCATGGGGCTGACAAGTTTCCTAAATTGATTTTTTTCCTTGAAAGCTCAATTTCACCATGGCAACAAATACTGACTGTTGTTTTCCTTGAAGTAATGGGCTTACTTTAGTCATTTGTAAACCAGCATCTGCCAAACTCTGAAGTCTGCACAGCAATTTTGCAAAGTGTTTGTTCAAGTAAAAAGCAAGGAGGCAATTGGTTTGGTTATCTCAAGCACGCAAGGGCTTTCTTTGAAGAATCCATATTCAGCAGAAGTGCCTTATTCAGGTGGTGCTTCCTCTTTTATCACATAAAGACCCAAAGGCCTAGGATGAATAAAACCAATATTTATGTACGTATGTATGTATGTATGTCTTGCAATACAGGGAAATCAAACCCAGGGCCTTCACATTCAACTATGTATCCAGCCCTTTTTACTTTTTAAAATTTTTTATTTTGAGGCATGGTCTAAGTCACTAAGTTGCCCAGGCTGAGTTCAACTTGCAATTCTCCCTCCTCAGCCTCCCAGAGTGCTGGGATCATAGATGTGCGTCACTGAGCCCTGCTAAATTTAAGAATTTTTCGGGACTTCTTAAGGACATATCTATGGGAGACCAGATGCGAAAAATGAGGCCTAAGTGGCCTCCTCCGTGAGCACTGAGAAGGAGGAGGGCGTGCCAGAGTGCGGACACGCTGCAGGGAGAAGTAAAACACCTGAGGTAAAGCTGTTTGCCCAGAGAAGTACCGAGGAGGGTGGGAGACAGATGAACCCTGCAGAACTCTAATTGCTCATGCCCGTGTCTGAGCGAATGAAGCCAAGTGCGCCAGTCATTTGGGGCTCTGTGGTGAAGGGAGACACCCGCTCCCTGACCGCTCTGTCTCTCTGGTTTTCGTCCTTATCACCCCTTGGTCAGGTTCAAGCTTGTAGGCTGGTTCGGACACGTTAACCTAACTCTGGCTTTTTAAAAACTGCATTTGTACAGTGGTGATGTAGCCCATCACCGCTACCATGGGGGGCGACACCACCCGGATTCCTGCAGAGACACCAGGCTTTGACCCACCTTAGTGCAAACATCAACACTGATGAAAAAGGCAAATAAGGTATTAACATAATTGTGAAAACTTTTAACCTTGCAGACCCCATCAGGATCTCACAGCCCCTCTTAAGGGTCTGAGAACCCCACCCTCAAAATTACTCCTAAGAAACTCAAGAGTAAGAGATTATAGTCTATTACAGTTCTTTGCAATTAACAGATCCATCCAGCTGGATAAGGATGTAGATGGACGAGCATTCCTATCCTGGAACATTTCTCATAAGTCAAAACCTAGATGATCTGACCACTCTTTAAATAAGAGCCGCTGACTGAGCTGGACTCAGAAAGGGGTTTGCCATCCCTGACGGCAAATCTAGGAGTTCCCTCCTCAACCCAACCACAATTTCTAGCCCTCTCCTGCTACACTCACATCTCTTTTACCTTTCTTGTGTGCTCAGAGTTCAGTGCAATACAAACACTCTAGAATCTTTTGACATGGGTGATCATAAAATTTACCATCTAAATAAGAACATTTCGGAAAGTGACCATTATTTATACCTAGAAAGAACTGGACTAACTAGATCATAGGGTGTATCTGTGTTTTTGTTGTTGTTTTGTTTTGATTTGGGGTTTTTGACTGTTTTGCCTTTAGATGGGGGTCTCACTATGTTACCCTGGCCAGCTTGAACTCTAGGGTTCAGGAGATCCTCCTGCCTCAGTCTCCTGAGTTGCTGGGAGTGAAGGTGTGTGCCTCCATGCCCAGCCTGTCTTTATCTGTAACTTCTGCCCTTATCACCTAAACTAACCAGGACTCTTTTGCTTTTGTTCCTTTTGGGCCAAAGGTTATGCCTGGGTAGGAGAGGATGCAAACCCTTTTGAAATTCAGGGAGAATAAAGAAAAATGACAGAAAAAGGAAGGAGGAAGAAGGTAACAATCCTACTTTTGAGTGACTGAAAGGTCACTGAAAGGCTAGCTGAGTTTGATTTCTGAGATTCACTCTTTTTCTGAAAATCCATCTTTATGATGAACCAATTATTCACTGGGCAGCTCTATCTACACTGTCTCTATTCCGTTCCAGTGGTCTGTTGACACCTCACTGTCTTAACACTCTAGTTTATACTGAGAATAGTCCAATACCGTATTCTTCTTTCTCAAAGCCTTTCTCTTGGCTATTGTCAGAGCTTTATATTTTCTCAAAAAACAAACAAAGAAATAAGAAAAGATCCCTTTGGGAAACAATCCTACTTTAAATAGTATCTTTGACTCATATTTTCTGTCTGTTGCTTATACGCAGAAATAAAACAGTTTTGTAAACTGATCTTATATCTATTTACCTTGCAATTTTGTCCTGCTAGTTAGCCATCTAATAAATTCCCTTAATTCTACTATTTTGCTAGTTTATATTTTTATGAACTTTCTTCTGCTGCTTCATTTACTCTCTTTAACATCTTGAGGTGAAAGGTTAGATTGTTGATTTTTATCCATTTTCTTCCAAACAGATGCATTTCAGGCAACAAATTCCCCCTTACTCCCTGGAACACTGCCATAGCCGCACAACTATTGCTATATCCCACAGTGTTTCATTTTCATTATTACTCAGTTTAGAATGTGTCATAACCTCCACTGCGACTTTTCTCTTCAGTGCACTATAGGCCAAGGCAGAGATTTCTCCTGTCTGCCATTGCCAGAGCAGAGCTGAAATCCCAACTGCTTCCCTGCCTCTTCCATTATATCGAGAAAGCACACATCTCGGAGTTCTGCACATGCTCACGATGGTTAGAGACACAAGTTCACAAAACTAAAAAGATAGCAGCCCGTGTGAGAAAGTCACAATATATTTTGTTCAGAAAACTTCACCTTGGCAATGGGCCAGATGGGGGAGTCATTCCGTAGTCTTCATATCTCTGGAAGAAATTCAAAATAACATGAAGATTAGTATTCTATACTTATTATAAAGTGACAACAGCAAATGTATAAACTTTGAGGCTTGTAGGATCAACTTTCAGGACAATTATTTTCTCATTAAAACTTAGCATGTTACCAGGGCATTCAAGTAAGGCTCTGAGTTTCAGTTTGGAGAATTAAGCTACCAGGCTTTAAAAAACACAAAACGAAAGCTAGGGGTGGTGGCACCTGTAGTGCCAGCATTTAGGAGGCTGAGGCAGGAGAATCTCTTGAATCCATACATTTCAGACCACCTAGGGCAATACAGCAGACACCACTGCTCAATCCCCAGCACCACAAAAACAAAACAAAAAAACTATATAACTACTTTGTAGCTCTTTCCTTTTGTACAATATGACTAAAAATTTTAATAATAAGACAAGTTTTCTGCACCTGTTCAGCTCTCTGTGCTCCATTGTTATAAACCATATCTTCTGCTGAGAAGTGGTGTAAATGGCTACATGTAGCACAAAGGACTCCCTTACCACAGTCGCCAGATCCAGCAGGAGTCCACCAGCAACTTAAACACCCCCAGAAACTAACCCATCAAAAGCTGTAACCAGGTGTGGTGAAGCCTATAATCCCAGTACTCTGGAGGCTGAGGTAGGAGGATCTCAACTTGAGTCCCAGCCTGGATTGCAGAGCAAGACCTTCTAAAAAAAAAGACCCAAAATAACAAAAAAGTGGTACCATGTTTTAGAATTCTGTAAAAACAGGAAAGATGCAAAGAAAGCATGAAAGGCAAGTCAAATGGTTGTGCAGTCTCTGATGGGCCTGAGGTACGTACAGCAAGACAGGAAGGTCTACTTAGAAAAGGTCTCAGCTCAGGGGCCCAGAGCCGACCACTCGAGAGGGAATGAGGCTTTACTGCAGAAGCAGAACGTGAGCGGGCTGCCAGGCCCCCAATGCCTAACCAACTCCTCCTCTGTGCTGGCCAATGGTGCCAAATGTCATCAGCTGGGACAGAAAGACCCACGCGGTGATAGAAGGCACCTTGAAATCCACATTCCTGCATTTTGTTTTTTTTTTCTTCAGTCAGAAGAAGCAAATAAAGGGTGATCAGGTTTCTCCCAGCAACAAATGGTAACTCTAGCTCCATTCTAGCAACAACCTGAAAGGCACAGGCACAGACATTAGACACCAGAGGTCTGGTTTCCCACTAGGCCAAACTGCTATCGCTCTCACCAGACTACATCAGATGACACCAAAAATCCCAAGCGAGGAAACCACAGAGTAACAATGTTTACTAAGAAATCTTACTATGAGGGCCAGGGATTTAGCTCAGTGGTGCTGCCACCTGTCTTGCAAGTACAAGGTCCAGAGTTGGATCCCAAGTACCAAAAATAATAAAAATAATAATCTTACTATGAATTTGAATTCATGGTGAACATGGAAGATTAAGGCATGATGGTGGGACTCTGATCCTTGACACCCAAGCACCAGGAAAAGATAATAAAAACAGGAACACAAATCTGTCAGTAATTACTGCTCAAAACTCATCAGCAGAAACCTAACAAGCAAGGGAACAGACTCTTGCTAGAAATGGAGAAAAGTGGGGGCCCAGTGAAAAACGGGATGTTGGCAGCACAGTGTGACTACTGTTCCTGTTCCCTTAGAGAAGCAGGCTGTGGGGTGGCGGGGTTGGAAGAGGAGGGCCAAGGACAGAAGTGGGAGGCAGAGAGGAGCACCATTACAGGCCAGCAGGGTCCCTGCTCAGGCCCGAGGACCCACTGGGAAACCCAGGACTAAGTGAGAGGCCCTGGGCAGGTCCCCCTGCAATCACCCTTCACACACGCCTAAGGTCTCAGGCCCTCGGCACCCAGCCAACTCCACACCCAACAACTCTGCACCCCCTACCAGCCGCATCCAGCCCAGAGTCCTGCAGGCCTTGAGAAGCTACTGCAAAGCTCCTGGGGAGTGTGAAGGCTTGGGGAGTCAAGAGGATGCCGCACAGGCATCAGGGCTCTCTCTCTCCCTGTCAGTGTGAGGCCACACATCTCCTGCCCATCTTCTCACTGTCTACCCTGGGGTGTCTGGATGCTGGGCAACAAAATTAGAGATTTTTTAGCTTTAGCTACAGTAATTCTATGACGGTCAATTCAACCAGGACCTCCACGCTAAGAAATTATTCCTATGCCCCTGATCTGGGAAGACAGAAGCCAAAAGCTGGCCGTTTCCTCTGCCTCCTGCCATCCAACCACAACTTGATTTCAAATGTACCCACTTTACTTTCCTCCCTCCACTGGGCTGGAAGAAATGTACCCCTCATTTCTGAAGACGACTGTTCCACTGGCACTGGGGGCCATGGCCCCCTTTCCTGTGTCATCAGTTCTCCTCCATGCTGGCTCAGTGCCACCAACGATGCCACAGGAGAAGCCTTTCCAACTCACTCCCCAGTCCACCCACAGTGTCACACTAGGGCAGCCACCAACTTCACCCACACCATCACACCAGCTTCCTGTCCCCTGCCTCTGTTTTTGCACTCTGCCACCATCCTCTGTCTGAAACGGGACTGACCTGTCACCAAGGCCCCACAGCGTCCAGCTGTCACCCTCGGGATGAAGGGTAGGCTTGTCCTGTCCTGCCACCGCATCTCACCAGGTTCACTGGCCCCTCTGTACTGGTCATCTGGAACTGATTCCACGGCAGGGAAGTCACCATGGATGGTGGTTAACGTCACAAACCACTTGACCGGGCCACAGCACACCTGGATAGCTGGCTACGCTGTATCTGTGCGTGTCTGGGAGGTGTTTCCGGACGAGATCAGCATTTGGATTGGTGGACTTAGTAAGGCAACTGGTGCTCCCAGTGTGAGCAGGCTTCACCCAACCCATCGAGGGCCCAAATGCAATCAAAAGGCCAAGAAAGGTTCACCCTCCGTCTGACCTGGGTTGGGACCTCAAACTTCTCCTGCCCTTGGAGATTCTGGTCCTCAGGCTTTCAGATTCAGGTTGGAATCTGGCTCTCAGACCTTACGATGGCACCACCAGCCCTCCTGGCTTTCCAGTTTGCAAGAGCAGATCATGGTGGTCCTCAGCCTCCACAGTCATGGGAGCCAGTTCCTCATTATCAGTCTTTCTCTAGCTCACGAGTTCCCATTTCCCCTTTCTCCCTTTCTCCACACACTTGTTATTGGTTCTATTTCTCTGGAGAACCCTGGACAACGATGCGCATTTCTGGGAAGAAGTTTTTAACAGCTTTATTGAGTTATAACTGACATACAATAAACTGCACACATTTAAAAAATACAAGCTTATCAGTTTTGACATGTCTATACCAGTAGGGGCGAACTTGGGGCAAGCAGGCTGCAGCAGGCTGTCTGTTATCACTGAAAGCTCTGAAAGTTTCGCCATCACTGGTATCTTCACACAAGCCACCACTACAATCAAGATAATGAACACATCCATCACCCCCAGAGTTTCCGGGTACCCCTCAAAATCCCTCCACGCCATGCCTGTCTCTCACCTGTGGCCCCTGCCTGGGCAACTCTGATCTGCCGTCTGTCACAGTAGATTTTTCATTTTCTAGAACTGTCTATAAATGGAATCATATACCATACATTCTTTTCCTTTATTCTGGCTTTTTCCACTCAGCCTAATTATTTTGAAATCCAATCATGTTTTGTGTATGTCAATAATTCACTTTTATCACTGAGTAATATTCTATTATATGGATACAACACAGGTCTATCCACACACCAGCAGATGAGCATTTTGGTTGTGTCCAATGTCAGTCTATTACAAAGTTGTTACGATGTAGAAGTCTGAAAAATGTTGCATTTCTCCTGGGTAAATACTTAGGAAGCTAATGGCTAGTTCACATGTTTGGTGTATGTTTAACTCTTTAAGAGACTGCCAAACTGGTTTTCGATGAGGCTTTGTTGATTTACATTCCCGCCAGCAGTTGGTGCGTATTTCAGTTCCTCAGATTGTTGTCAACATTTGGCGTGGTCAGGCTTAGGCATTTTAAACACGCCGACAGGTGTGAAGTCCATTGGTCTACCTCACTGCAATTCACTTTGCATTTCCCTAAGAAACTACTGATGCGAGGCATCTCTTCATTTGCATATTTCCTATAATCATCTGTTCCTTATATCTTTTTTGGTGAAGTTTTTATTGGGCTATTTGTATAATTTAAATCTTCTTTAATTTGCTGAGATTACATTTATGGCCTGGAATATGGTCTTTTTTAGTACAAGTTCTGTATACTGTTGAAAGATTATACATTCTGCTCTTGTTGTGAAGAATGCTTTTTGCAAGAGAATTAGTCTTTGCTATCTTACAGACTTTCCGTGTTATCTGTTCCACTGGTTTCAAGAGAGAGAATCTGACATCTCCAACTATAACTGTGGATTTCTTTCTACCTGTGGTCCTACTGGGTTTTGCTTCATGTATTACCAGGCACAGAAACATTTAAGATACTGTGTTTTCCTGAACTGACTACCTTACTACAATGATTATTTATTTGTATGCTTGGACCTTGCTCCTTATACAATCTGACATGCTCTGCCCATTCACAGAGATATTTAGATCCTTCACATTTAATGTGATTATTGACAGAGCTGGATTTAAATGAACCATTTTGATATCTGTTTTCCATTTTTTTTCATCCATTTTCTGTTCCCTTTTTCTTCTTTCTTTAGGCTTTTTTTTTTTTTTTTTTTCCTTTTTACACAGTGTCTTGCTAAGTTGTCTGAACTGGGCTCAAATACTCTCCCGCCTCAGCCTTCCAGGGAATACAGGTGTGTACATGCCCAGCTTACAATTTTATTATGACTCATTTATTGGTTTATAAACTAATAATGCACTTTTAGGTTTATGTTACATATTTTCCCTTACCATAGTCTACTACTGGGCCCTATTATTCCACTTTATGTACAGCATGACACTGAAACAGAAACTTCAATCTCTCCCCTCTTGGGCTGTGTATTGTTTTCATACATTTCACTTATATATTAGAAGCCTCACAATATATTGTTATTACTCTTATTTTGAACAGTCAATTATCTTTTTAAAAGCTTTAAATAATGAAGCAAGTTTTTGTTTTGTGTTGTTTTGGTACCAGGGATCAAATTCACGGCCTTGAGCTTGCAAGGCAGGCACAGCACCACTGAGCTAAATCCCTGGCCCTGAAGAAAGTTTTTTAAAAAATAATTACCCACATATTTACCTTTCTAGGGCTCTTCATTCATGTGCGCCAAGTCTTCCTCTAGTATCATTTTACTTCTGCCCTGGCGACTCACTGTAACATTTCTTACAGTGTAGGTCTGTTGGTGATGTGCTCTTTCAGCTTCCTATGGTGAAAACTCTTTATGTCACTTTAGTTTTTGAAAGCTGTTTTGGCCGGATATAGAATCTAGGATGACCATACTTTCTCTTCAGCTCTGTATGGTTTGCTGCCCCTGCATCAGCCTGTGGATAATGAGAATCCTGCTGCCTTCCTTATCTTTCTTCCACTGTATTTGCGGTGTCCTTTTTCTCTGGCTGTTTTGTTTTTGTTTGTTGTTTCATTTGGTTTGGTTTGGTACTGGGGATTGAACTAGGACCTTATGCTTGGGAGGCAGGCAGCAGCACCACTGAGCTAAATCCCCAGCTCTCTCTGGCTGTTTTCAAGATCTTTAGTATTTGTCCTAAGCAATAGGATTATGATGTTTCTTGGTAGAGTTTTCTTCTCGTTTCTCGTGTGCTGGGTTCATCTAGCCTTATAGATCTGTGGATTTACAGTTTGTATGAAATTTGGAAAACTTTCAACCATTTAAAAAAATACATTTCATTGTGCATATTTGAGATTTTGTAACATGATGTTATATGACACACACACACACACACACAGCAAAACAGCTAACAGAGTGAAGCAAATTAACCTATCTATCATCTCACAGAATTACTTTAGTGAAGAGCAGCTAAAATATATTTAGGAAAAAATCTCTAATAAAATATCTTATTGGGGCAGAGGATTTAGCTCAGTGGTGTTACCACCTGCCTCACAAGCGCAAGGTCCCAAGTTCAATTCCCGGTACCAAAAAAAAAAAAAAAGAACCAAAACCTTAATGTCATCTCCTACTGTATTAGATCACTTTAAAAAAAAAAAAAAAAAAAAAAGAACCAAAACCTTAATGTCATCTCCTACTGTATATTAGATCACTAGATTCATTCATCCTATGTAGCTGCTACTTTGTATCCTTGAAACTATACTTTCCATTTCCTATAGTCTCCCATCCCATAACCAGTTTTACTCTGTATCAGATGACCTTTTTTACTTTTTTGAAAGGTATGTCATCATTTTAATGATGTAGGCCTTTGGCAATAGACTATCTCCTCTGTGTCCATCACAATGTTTCTATGATGAGTGACAAACAGAAATAAATCACAATTTCATACTAAAAATGATCAGAGCCTTGATTTCTCCACTAGAAACTTAATGTACAGGGGAAATGAGGAGGTAAGGGAGGGGTAAGGATGGAAAATGACCAAGATATGTTATATGCACGTACCACTTCCCCCCAAACAAACCTCAATGTGCTAACACAAGAAAAAAATAAACTACACACAGCTCAAGATTCCACATGCAACATCTTCAATCACAGGCCAAGGCCTCACATTTGGAGCTGGAGCCTCATCCCTGGCCTAGCCAGGATGGCCTGGGCTCAAAATACTGACAGCCACAGGTGCTGCCTTAAGTGTCTTGAGGGCAGGGAAGAGCTTGGTGCACAAAGCTGGGGGCAGCCTACCTCCCCACTCCTGAGTAAGGATCTGCCCACCTGGCTCTTCCGCAATCACCATGAAAGGCAAAAGTTCTGAATGGATTCAGGACATCAAGGCAGCCATGACAGTGCAACTAAAGACACTCACAAAAGAGAACTTCCAAAACTGCTTCAGCAAGTGCTAAGGACGATGAGGTAAGCACGTTCAAAGCAAGAGGGAGGAAGGATTTTGAGGGGGATTAATGGCAATGTGTCTTTTACTGGAATTTTTAAAATATAAGCACCCAAAACATTTTTTATTATGCCTTGTACTGTGTTTTTATCCACTTATTGACTGATAGACACTTAGGTTGTTTCCATATATTGGTTTTGTGAATAATGATACAGTGATCATGGAAAATGGTAATTGTGTCTCCTTTGGGCATACACCTAAGAAAGAGAACTACTAGGTACCATGGCAGATCTATTTTTCATTTCTTTTGAAGCCTTTGTAATGGCTATTAATCTACTTTCCTACTAACAGTACGCTAGGGTTCCCTTCGCTCTGTGTCAATGCCAATTGACAATTTCTTATCTCTTATCTTTTTGACAATGGCCATCCTAGTAATGATGTCATTTTCTTTCTTCTTTGCTTTTACTGAAGAGACCATCCTTTCTGGTTAGCTTTGACATCACAACATTACCCATTTACCTATTGGATTCTGATATTTTTGTTTCTATAAATATTCTTGAGCTTTGTTTGGGTTCAGGTTTTATGCTTTGTTAAACAGAATCTGAGCAATTTTAATCTGGGGCTAATGCTCCCCCTGCTGTGAGCGGAACTCTTCTGAATACCTGATGTTCTGCGAATTATGAAATCTTCCATTCTGACTGGTAGGAAAGTCTGCTGCCATAACAAAATACCATCAAATATGTGACTTAAGCAACTGGAAAGTCCTAAACAAATGTTTGGGCAGGGACCAGTTTCTGGTGAGGGCTGAGGTAGTGTCATTATAAGGTAGAAAGGGAGCACCAGGGTTTCTTCCTCTTCACATGAGGGCAACAGATCCTTCAGATCAGGGTTCCACATTTATAGCTCTTGAACCCTAATAACCTCCTTAAAGGCCCTGTCCCAATACAGTCACATGTGAGTTGTGGATTCCATATCTGACTTGGGAGAGCAACAGCTCAGTTTGCATCGAGAGCTTATTCCCAGGACTGTGTGAGCTCTGAGGACTGTTTCCTCTACTCTTTCAGATGTTCCTTTCTCCCATCTTGTGTAGTTCCCTCACCCATGACTGCTCAGCACACCAATGACAGCTCTCTGCAGATACCTTCTCAAGCATCCATCTGCTCTCCCACTGCTTGCCAGTGAACTCCAGCTGTCTTTCCTTCCTGGACCTTCAATTCCACCTGGGCCCACTTCTCTACACAGTGGCTTGAAACTCTCCCAACAGAAATTGGAACAATGGTAGAAGTCAACTCACTTTCCAGTAATCCTTGTCCTTTGCTGCCTAACAGTCAGAGTCATAAAGACCCATATATTTCATCCAGTTTTTCCAATCTTTCAAGAAGGAAGTAGAACCAGACTCTGTTCCTCCATGTCCTCTAGGAGTTTGTTGTCCGATGTTCTTTGTGTGTCTCTGCCGCGTTTCCCACTTTCTGAAATATTCTTCTTTAACTGAAAACAATTATCCTTTAGACTTCTACTTGGATACCATCTTGTCCAGAAGCCCTTCCTCAACTCTTCAAGACTTGGCTAGGTGCTCCTATACCCTGCTGGCACAGCACTGGCCACAATGCAGTGGAGCTACTGTGTGGGCTGCTCACACAGCCTCCCCAGGAACACAACACCACGGTGTCCACACGACCCAACCACCAGAGGGTTCTGAACACAGCAGGGCTCCATGAATATGTGTGGACACTGGATAAATAAGAGAAGCTTAAAGTGACCAGACAGCAGCTATCTCCACACCTGTTTTATCACTGAATTTTTTTTTTCTGTATCATCAATTTCCTCAAAGATTATAAGCTACCAGTTGCCATCTTGGACTAGGGACTATTTATTATTGGACCAAGCTGCACTTTTCTATTAAAACCAATAATTGATTAGATTTAACAGTATCTACCCCTGCAGGGTAGCAATTATCTACATCCCAGGCATTAGGCCTCCCATACCTTGAGGGAAACAATCTACTACTAAGGACCTTCTTTGAAAATTCAAACCAATTTCAGGGATCTGAATTTTTAAAATATATATTTATTGCCATCCAATTCCACCTCAATAAAGATAACAAAATCAAGGGCCGGGGATTTAGCTCAGTGGTTCTTGCACCTGCTTTGCAAGTGCAAGGACCCGAGTTCAATCCCTAGTACCAGGAAAAAAAAAAAAAGATACCAAAATCAGAGCCACTACAAGCCTTCTTCACTAATAATTTAAATTGTGACTTATTAACTTCTCTCTGGAGTCAATAAGTCATACTTAAGTTGTTCAATTCCCTCTCTTTTAAAATTATCAAAAATCATACGAACTTTTCTTCCTTGACTTTCTTCTCTGTCTTAAGAAGGTAAATTTGAAAAGACTGACTAAACATGAGAAACAAAAAGGACAACAGAGGAAGATGAAACGTTGAAAGGTCAGCTCCCAAACGGGAGGCTGACATTTCCCAATGGCTGTCCTTGTGGACTCCCAGAGCCTCAGGTGCCCCTCCAGGCCCAGGTGGTCACACAAGAAGCTAAATTCTGTCGGCACATTCTCCACTGTTCCTTTGAGGGAGACAGAACTGAGAATATGTTTTGAATTAATCACCTGCACTTCCTGACAGTGCCGGGGAGCCAGGACGATGCTTCCACAAAATCCCTCTGCACCCCTCAAAGAACAAGACAGCAACGCTGCATAACAGGCTGCAGCCAACATTATAGAAGATGCTGAAAACAGAGCTCTAATTCCAATCCCATGCAATGAAGTCCTCCAGGTGGGTAGCAACTCCAGCCCCATGCCCCGCAGAGCCTGCAGAAGGGCAGTACTCACGCTGCAGGCGTTGCTGGCTGTCTGTGCAGGGCTGTAGAAGGACCCCCACTGGGCGGCTCGCCTGTCTTCCCGGGATGGGGTGCTGTTCATGGGCAGGCCGGCTGGGACTCCTGGGCCAGAGGCATTGGGGGGCTGGCTGCTGGGGGCCACGAGGGCGAAGGCGTCGTCCAGGAGGGAGTGCATGGTCTGGCGGGCCTCCTCGATAGACGGCTGGGGCGGGATGTACTGCGAGGCTGGGAAGGGGAGGCCTGGGTACCTGGCCAGGTCGGTGGAGGATGGCGGTGTCTGCACCTCAGCAGGGAGGTCGGGGTCCGACTGCAGCGGGGAACAGCAGAGGGAAGAAAGAGACGTGAGCTCCTGTGATAACTCTAAAACAGAGCTCTAAGGCCAAAGTGGAGTTTACAATTTTCCTGACATTTAGGAAAAAGCTAATCATCAGAATTTTGAAATGACAGCTGCAAAATTTGTATTTCATTTTAAGAGGGGTAATGCCTTTAATTAGGAAATAGTCAACAATTTCTTTCTAGCAAAACTCAACTAACTGAAATGTATTTTAGGACCTAGAAGTAACATTTCTACTGAAAGTCTAGGCACCAGAAAACATGTTTCAAAGTAAATGCTTCAAAAAACCTACTAAACATCGCATGGATATAAAAATGTATCTATCACACTCTGTGCACTGTGAGCAGTAAAAAAACGAACTGGGGTGGAGCCAGTGATAAAGCACTTGCCTAGCATAAGCAAAGCCCTGGGTTCAATCCCCAGCACCACAAAAACAAAACAAAACAACAAAACAAAAGTGCCCTACATATCTCTAAAAGCAGTCACTATAATAAAACTACTATGTGTATTAACAATGATAATACCTACCGACTACGGCAGCTATTTTATTATTCAGAAACCATTTGTCTTTAAAAGAGTGGCATCTCTGGGCAACATGAGCCATTAATAAAGGTTTAAACTGTTGTACATTCACTGTTTAAGAGGCAAGAATATAAGCCACAATTAAGTTTGTAAAATCTTATTTCCTGCTCTCCCACCAGGAGCCACCATCGCTCCAGTGCCAGGAGGGCCTGCTTGGACCCCGACCCACCGCAGGAAGGATGGCCACGTCCTCTCCAAACGGGAGCCACCATGGCTCCAGTGCCAGGAGAGCCTGCTTGGACCCTGACCCACCGCAGGAAGGATGGCCACGCCCTCTCCAAACGGGAGCCACCATCACTCCAGAGCCAGGAAGTTAGCCCCTACAACTCCCTCAACTCCCCCACCCCCACAGGCACTCTCAGACCTCCTGATTGTGCCAGTCTTTGGGCCTGCTCTGCAGAGGCAGAGGTGGTCATAAAGGGTATTTTTCTGAGCTCCCAACTTTGAACATCTTTAAAGAAAGGGCATGGGAAACCTGTAGTAGAACGCTGTGGAGTTCAACCATTCAGGAGGTCAGGGAACTCAATCTGGCCTTGCAGCCCAAGGTCAGTCTGCATCGTGGGGTTCTGCCATCAGCTAGCTGAGATCAGCGGTCTTGGTTCTGCACATGGCTGCGCATGTTGTGTATTATGACAGCAGAGATACAGTCTGAAAGAGGCCCTTCAAATCCTTTTTTTTTCTTTTTCTCATTCCACTCTGCAAACTCTTTCTTTCTGTCCTCTTTCCCCAACTCAGTCTCTTGCTCCACCATATTATCCCTCATCTCCCTTTCTGTCTCTGCTCCTGCCCTAACTCAGATTTCTTCTTTTATCATTTTTTCTCTTTTCTTTATGTTCTTTTCTTCTGTCATTTTACCTCACACAGGGGTCAGTGGTTTCAAGGGAAAGTGAGCCCCTATTACTGTTAAAGAGATATATTCTTGTCCTCACACTTCTACTCTGTCTATCCCTTTCGAATTTAACAGTTTCCTGAACACTGTGTGGTCATTCTATGTCCTCTGGCTTCACCTGAAACCTTCTCCAACTCTTTCACTTATCTACTCCTCTCGTACTAGCTCTGTCTGATGCCCCATCCTAAATGGTAAATACACTATGTTGAAAAGTTTGTTCACTGCTTCTTGTTTTGGACTGCTTCTTGATTTCAATTTAATTTACATGGTTTAAGGGTGATAGACTAGTGACTACCACAAGTGGTCATTTTGCAAGTTGTGCTTGATCATATTGTGTTGCTGATTGTATCAGTGGGGATAAAGGATTGTGGTTGATTAGATGAGCTGTTTTCTCTGACGTTATGAAGATGAGAATGTCTGTGGGTCATTAGAGACCCAGAAGCTAGGGCACAACTGTATCAGGAAGATTTGGGTAATAACCCAGAGATTAAACCAAGGACAGCCCGACAACAAAAATAAAAATGAGAAAACACTTAAGCAAGATACAGAGACAGACTTCCAATTTACCAATGGCAAACAGTAGGGCAAATGAGGATTAAAAGGCCAATAGTGAACCACCAGGACACCCTGAACTCAAAGGACAGGAAGTAACAAAACAGATCAATCGGGCTCTAGAAAAATTCAAAACAGAAATAATTTCCCAGATAACCATAGAGATGGTGAGCAAAATCAAAGTCATGATTCGAGACTCTAGAACAGAAACTCACAAAAAAATAGATGAGCTCAGGACTATAATAGAAGCCATGAAGGCTTAGCATAAGAAAGAAATTGAAACAATAAATGCCCAACATAGGAAAGAAATGGAATCCATAAAACACATTCAAACAGATATCCAGGAGATTAAACACTCCATTGAAAGTGTACCCAACAGAATAAAAGAATGCGAAGATAGACTCTCAAATATAGAAGATAAGATTGCAGTCAGTGATCATGAAAAGAGAGGTCTCTTAAAAACAGTAAGGGATCAT